TTCTGTAAAATTTTATACAGAAATTTTTACAGAAAAAATTTAGTATTAATTCAAGATAATTTTAGTATATTTTTTTTCATAAAGTACTAGTTGCAGAAGCTTTAATGTAGTGACAATAATGATTCTGCCTGAAACTATTTTGGATTACTAATCAAAACTAAAACTAGTTTTATATATCCTAAATTCATAACTCTAAACTTTGTTAAAATTCCAAAACTATATAAAAAGTTTTAAAACTATAATAAACTTCTAAACTATATCAAAATTTCAAAACTATATTAAAAATCCAAAACTATACTAAATTCTAGAACTATACTAAAGGCTTGAGAACACCCTTAGGTGGCATCCACAATTTACATTAAATTTGTATCATCTTTAAGATCCTTATAAACAATACTAGTTTAATGTAAATTGTGATTTCTATATCTGGTTTATTATAATTCCACCTTAATAGTTAAATATAAAAATCTAGATATGGTAAGCTAACATATTATCTGATATCAGGTATCATAATTTTAACTTACAGTAATAACATACTGAATTGGTTATCAACACTTTTTTAGCTACAGTGCAAAAAATTTAAAAGCTGCAATTATATCTTATAATGACAATATGCATATTTTGAAACTCTAAAAAATAGTATAATCAAGTTACATATTAAATTAAATAATCAACTTTTAATTAATTTAATATTAATCATTTGAATTTAAGATTTCTTGCACTGTATGTATTTAAAATTTATTTATAATACAAGTTATTCAAATTTAAGAATATGTATTTATCTTAATACTTTCTATTTAAGTTAATTTAAATATACTCATTTCTTCAACAACTAAGATTAACTAATTAGAAAATTATAGTAAGTTAAGCTTATTGCTAGTTTAAGTAGTTTGTAGTTTTATGTGTTCTAAAACCTTTTAAGTGTTGTTAATCAAAAGGGCTAGCTCTGCTAGTATCGATCTTCAAATTATAATCTCAATCAAGATTTTTTTCATTATAATCAACCTGGGCAAAACCTTAAGTTTAGTTAGCACGAAGTTTTTTCTCTTTAATGCTATTTAATTTTGTTAATCTGATAAGTGAATATAAAGTATATTTATTTTAATTCTGTTGAAAAAAGCATTTGTATTACATAGTATACACTGTATTTATTTGGACTAATGCCAAAAAATAACTTAGATTAGAGATGTTTTATTAAAAGTTAGTATAATTATAATAGAAAAATGAATGACTAGCCATATTGAGAGCTGCTATAGGATTATTGTATCATTTCTTACTTGCTAAAGCAAGCCAGCTATAAATAAAGAAATGTAAGTAAAGAAGTGATAGAATTATGTGTCTTTATTTTCAGTTCATGCATCTGTGAACTTGGCTTTATTGTAATCAATCTTATACTTAATATCTAATTTTTTATTTCATCAAAAATCTGCCAAGATGGGTAATTTTGAAGGAACATTTAAGGTTGGCAATTGTGATTATAAATGAATCAGTGTCAAAAAGAACAAACATAAGTCATTTATATATTATTAAAAATCTGCAAAGATGTGTGATGCTAGTGCAACATTTAATGTTAGATATTATTACAACAAAGAAATTGGAGTTGAAAAGAATAAACATATTATTTATCTTCAATCTCTTATGTTATCTCATTCTTTTGCACTATTTGCTAATTTTCATATGTATTGTTTTTATCTATAAAGGATTTGTGTGGCTGCTCTTCATTTAGAATTTTTTTTTTTTTTATAATAATAAATTAGTATTAAAGAATATATAATAAAGAAATTTTTGCTTATAAAAATAAATAGTAAATTTTTAGCAAAAAAACTAGAAGTTTTTTGAATATAAAAACAGTATAAATACAATTCTTAAAATCTTTATTTTGTTAATATAAATATGACTTATATATATGAGGATTTTGAATAGGGATGTTATTTTGCTTATTCAAACTCAGTTCAGACTGTTTAAAACCCCAAATATATTAAACTCAAGTTTTTGTAATCATGTAATTTTAATTAGTAAATTTTAAACTTAGTACTACTCATAATGCTCAAATCATGTTTGAAATTAATTTTTCAAACTATAATTATAGTAGAAATAAAAAAATAAAGTTAACTTCCATAATTTAAATGACATAAATGGGTTTTCTTAATTGAAAGGTAATTTATTTATTGTATATAATACATAGGCTTTTTTTTTTAAACTAAAATATAACATTATTTCTTTGTAAAAGCAATTTAAATTGCTATAAATATGTATTTTTATATTTCTTTATCTTACATTTGAACAACCTAAATGTATAAACAATTTCAAAATATAATTAAAGATCAATAAATAAATAATATACAAATATAATATTAAGCAAACGTATATATAATATATTATATTCTTAATAAATAAATATTTAGATTAACATGATTGGGTATACATAATTATAAATAGTTTAAAGCAGAGTTTGAAATCCAGTTTATATATGTGCTTCTAAACAGTGCTTAAACAGGTTTCAAAGTTGGAAGCTACAAAAATTTAATTTCAATGATGTATAACATATATACTAAACAATTATTGCTTATTTGATTTAATAATATATATATTTATATATATACTATAACAAATATATATGTGTATATTGATATGTATACTAATTATTCAAAATTCTGATTATAAAAATTCTTTTAAATTAAATTTATAATTATCATTTATAGCAATATCTGAATTATTATTTTCTTTATTAGAAGTATATTGATGATCTGCTTGATTAAACATTCAATAATTCAAATCTACAATATTATTTACAACTAAAATTACTATTGATGATTAAGAATTACTAAATCATTATTGTCATCTGATTCACTATTTTCATTATTTTTATTTTCAATTTCTTCACTATAATTCTTATTATTAAACAAATATAATCCTTGAATCATCACTACCAATTCATCTTTAGTTTTGTTTTTTGTACTGTATGATAACTCTTTATGTGTATTAAATAAATTGTAATGTCAAATTTTAGTTAGTGATTCTAAATTTTTTAAACTTAAATGCTGTTTTTTTTTCTTATAAAACCAATCCAGAATAGAGAAAATTCATTTACATGATGTGTTATGAGGAATTATTGCAAAAATTTTTTTAGCTAAAATTTTAAGATTATCGAACTTATCTTCAATAAAGCTCTACTATATAAAAGGAGTTATTAGCTAACTATCATATCTGATTTTGTATAAGAATTGATTTTTTCTAAATTTGATAATTTGGGAAATAAGAGTTTGTGCAGATAATTTATCTTTGTATCTTATTGATTGCCATAATGTTCTAGCATAAAGAGCAGTTTGTGTCTATACTCTTTTTCTTAAACTGGCATCTATAAAAAATTTATTATTATTAATAATTATATTTTTGTACTATAAAATATATAATACTTAAAAAATCTATTTAGGTTACAATACCTCAATATTCAGAGTGAAGTATATATGCTAAAATATATGGCTTAGCTTCAAGTTCATTCTAATGGTTATTGACAATTTCTATACATTGAGTTTTAAAATTAATTGTATCTCTTTTTTTTGGAATATGATAAATTGTTGAAATTAAATGAACTAGTTGAATAAAGCAGTCTGCCATTATGCAATTTGCTTTTTCTAACTGCAAAATTGCAGCTCTAATTGGGGCAAAAATTTTGGATATCTGTTCTATATCATGAAAAAATTCTTGAAACTTTAAAATTCTTTGTACATCTTGATTAGTAATAATATCAGGATGATTATTTAATATTTTAAAAATAATTAATTATAATATATTAATACTAATATAATAAACCAAATTTTAAGTATATAATTAATAATAATTACCTTTTCTAAGATAGACTTTAGTCTAAAAACAAAATCTACAGTTTCATATGTCAATGTTCATCTAGTTTTAATAAAAAGTTTTAATCTATCTCTATGAATATTAAATTCTTCAATATATTTTTTTAAATAACTTTTAGCTAAATGACTAGCTTTAAAAAAATAACAAATCTTATTACAATACTTTAAAATGCATGCAGATAATTTATATTTTAAAATATTCTGACTAATTAAATTAACAAAATGAACAATACAATAAAGATTAAAAATAAAGAGATATTTCTGATTAATCTGTTTATATGTAGCAGAAATAGCTGAAACATTATCAGAAATTATTTCAATAAATTTTTTAAATCCAATTTTAATTAAAATTTTTTCTATTTTATTAAAAAGTAAATTAGCCATATGGCTAATATGAGATAAATTACAAAGGGCATATAAAAATTCTTTATAATTGGAAGTTATTATTATAAAATTATAAATTGAAGCATCTTAGGAATTTGTCCAAACATCCAATTCTAAATTAAAATAAAATTAATAAAATTATATAAATTAAAATTTAATGCAGTAATAATATTAAAATTAATTTATTAAGTGTTAAATTATTTGCAGTTTTTAAATATTCTTCAGTTTCCCAATTAACTTTAATAACTTCTTCATTTAATAAAATGTTGGCAAGATATTCACAGATAGGTGGCATATATAAAGATCACAGAAATTTAAGTATATCAATAAACCATGGATTCTTAATTATAGAAAATAAAAGTCTGCATATAGCAAAAGCCTTAATAATTGTACAATCAACTGCCTCTTTTTTAGAACTAGCCAAAATTTGATTTTCATTTTTCTAATAATCATTAATATTTATTTTCTGTTTTTTAGATTAATTTTTTAAACTAAATGCTTGAGTTTTTTTTTTAATTTTTGTCTTTGAATTACAATTTTTTGATATTTTTCTCTTATATCATTATCAAGATTTTTATCTTTACATTCTTTTGTAAAATGTATCTTAAGCTAATTAGAACATCTACGATTAAATTGTGTAGGACAATATTTACATTTAGCAGCAAAATGACTAGGCAATTTCAATGAAATTGTAAAAAAATGATCCTAAATAGGGTCTGGTGGTTTTTCTTCAAAATGTTTTGAACATGCCTCTTTTTCAGCTTCTTCAGATAAATATTGGAAAGTCATTGAAGATAAGTTATAAGTTACTAAAATTGAATTGCATAAAGACATTAAAGAAATTATACAAATCATGAAAAATGGCTTATGCCAAAATAAATAGATTTTTAAAAAAAAAAATAAAAAAAAATTACTAATGAATAAATAACTATTTAGCATAAGTGAAAACTAAGCTGGTATAAGAAAAATTATGCAAAACTATTAATACAAAGAAAAAAATTATATTTGGCAAAAGCACCAATAAATGAACATTTCATAAATATCATGATATATTTCAATAAATAATTTCAAGATGTTAATTTGATTATAATATATTCATTCTTATGTTTAATTCAAATTAAGAAACTGATTATTGTTTTTGCTTCAAAATCTTGAAATATTATAATAATTCTTAACATTATAATAAAATTATTCTAATTATTTGCTAAACTTATTAAGTTTTTAACTTTAGTATGATTATGCTATATCAAGTAAGTCTTTTATTAGATTGATCAGTTATCTGAAGAAAAAAAGCAATAATTTTTTTTTTTTTTACTTTGCAATTTGACTCATCAATTATGCTACTAATAATTAACATCATATAATCACATGCAGTACATTCACTAAAAGACTATTCAGATTAAATTATATATAAAATAGCTGCACACTAAAAGTTATATGCAACTGGTCATATGTATATTGTAAAATTCATGACTAAAATGATAAGCTATATACGTAATACAAAATATGATTCAATAGAGAATGTAAAGACATTTTTAAATGAAATTTAAATGCTGCAAAAAGATAATACATAACTAGTATATTTTAGAATTTAAAAGCTATATACTATCATAACAATAAGTTTTTTATTTAAATTTAATTACCAGAAAAAGCTAAATTAGGATTTTAGTTAAATCAATCTTTATTGATATAAAACCTAACAAAATCTTATAAGAGAAGTCTTTAGATATATAAAAAACTGGTTTATATATATATAAAACTGATCAGGTCACTTGTAAGCATATTTAATATGGATGTTAGTTTAGATCAGTAACTGCTATAAAATTTATTATAATTGTATATGCATATATATACTATATAGTATAAACTGTATGTATTAAATATTTTCATGTTTTTTTTTTACACTATCTAATATTCTATATTAACACTTTATACAATATATAACAATTTTGATATTATTAATTTGTGTTAATTTAAATTATTTATTATAATTAGCTAAGACCAAAAATTGAAAATCATAAAATTATAAATCATACTGTAATTTAGCAGAGACATCATGTCAAGCAAAACTTTAACATATGATGCTAGCTAAATAGGCTATTGATAGAATGATTGTTGGAGAAAGAAATTATTCTTACTTATTTTATCTTGTTTCATGATTCATATATCTGATAATATCATATAAATGATATCAAGAACTTCAATTATATATGATCAAGTCTTATTTTTTCTTAGTATTACTCATATAGCATATATATTATCTTTTAAATTAATCAGATAAGTTAATTAGATATCTTTAATATTAAATCAGTTATCTGGGTTTAACCAGTTTTATATTTTAAGATATGACTGTTACCAAAGCCAATCTTTAAATCAAAATTTTTAATTATTTTTTAGTATAAGTTTAGAAATCATTAATTTTTAATTTCTTTTAACATTACTTCCTGATGATACAACTAATATTTATAAATAAACTTACATATATGTATATATATTTATATAATATACATATATATATATTGTTTTAAAAAAAAAACATTTCTAATAATTAAAAATTATATTCTGGAACATGTTTTGGATCTATTTATGCAACTTAAACATCTAAAATTTTATAATTCCTTTCAGTAATAAACAACTTAATTTGCTCGAATTATGTAATAATTTTTATAAAAGAATCAAAATTTTTAATTGTTTTTCTGTGTAAGTTTAGAAATCGATAATTTCTGAATTCCGATTTCTTTAATATTACTTCGATGCAACTAATATTTATATTAAGACTTACATATATGTATATATATTTATAGTATATATATATTTTTTTAAAAAAAAAAGCTTTTCTAATAATTAAAAATTATATCTTGGAACATGTTTTGGATCTTTTTGTACAACTTTAACATTAAAATTTCATGATTTTTTTTCAGTAATAAACAACTTAATTCATTCAAATCAAGTAATAATTCTTACAAGATTGAATTTTCATCTATAATGCAGTAGTAAATTTTATCATCCTAAAAAAGAAACAATACTCGATATGCACAAATAAGAATTAATTGAAAAAATTTATACTGACTCCAAAATAACATATCAATTCATAAATAATACTGTTAATTCTGAACTAATAGCAATTAATAAATAACATATAAAATTTACTTGTTTTTCATAGATGAATTTCCAAAATTCTGACTTAAACTTTTTTGTGACCTTGAACAGTTTTGAATTAGTATATTTTTCAGACTTTTGATATTGTTTTGGACTTTTAATATAGTTTTAGGCTTTTAATATAGTTTTGGGCTTTTATATAGTTTTGAAATTTTAATATAATTTCAGTCTTTTGATATAGTTTTAAATTTTCAATATAGTTTCAGATTTTTAGACAAGTTTTGAAAAATAAATTATGACTGAAACTGGTAATACCAGTTTCAGTTTCAGTTAATCTGAAACTACTAAGTTTTGGGCAGCATTATTACAGAAGAAATAGTGAAATTTATAATAAAACTGTATGATAGGAAGGAAGTTAGCATTATAACAGAATTTAGGACTACAGAAACATTTGTTGCAGGTGATGAAATTGAACAAGAAGAAACAATCTCTTCATTGGTTTGGCAGATATTTTATAATTCACTTTTATAAAGAGTTCAAGATAAGATAAGTTTAGGATATGAAATTGAAGTATATAAAGTACTAGATCTACAAATGAATAGGGTTAAAGGAAGAAGAACAAGACAAGTGCCAATAGTCTACACTAATGACATGATCTGGATAGCAAAAAGCAAAGAGAAAATGCAAGCAATTGTACAAATTTCACAAAGATTTTTCAAGTTTAATGATATAAAGATCAATAGTGCTAAGTCAAAGTTGTTGTCAATTAATCCAAATATGAGAAGTAAAAAAAGATGTGTAGAATAGGTTCAGATCAAGTACAGGCTAAAGAAAAGTATATACTAACAAAAATATTAGGAGTATAGTTGAGTATAGAAGTGAATAAAAAATTAGGTATAAAAAAGATAAAAAATATCATGCAACAATTTATAAAAAGCTTATGTTCTAAGAAATTAACTATTAGCTAGCTAATATATATTAACAATATATGTATAATATCAAAACTAGTATATATATTGCAAATAGCAAAAGTGTTCAAGAAGTGCATAAATCACTTACATCAGTCAGTGATTAGATTGATTAAAACCAAATTAGGTCTACCAGCAACTGTAGAAAATAGTATAATTGCATATCAAGATTTAGGAAGATGTAGAATGCTAAGTTAAGAAATATTTAATAGTTAGCTGGTTTTTTTGCAAAGAAAACTAAATGAGCCAGATCAAGTTAGTGAAGTAACAAAAATATATGTGAAACAAGGTTATGCTCTAGCAAGACTAATATCAAAAAAGATAAATATGGCATATACAAGTAACTTAAGAAAAATATGAAAAAGAAATCTTGTATGCTTGATACTGCTATGAGCAAGCAAAATAGATTTAAAGATAAAGGCAAAAGAAACTTTTTGGCAAGTTTTTGATATAGGTAAAACTGTACAGAGTTTGTTGAAGAATGAGACATTTAAAATGGCTTGTAAAAAGCTAATGCAGAGTAGATTGTTTTTTGTATAGCAGTTAATAGATCAAGAAGATAAAAGAATAATCACATGGAAAAAATTTAGAGCATTATGTACAAGTATACAAAAAGGACAAAAAGCAAAATGGTTTGCTAAAGCTGAACAGAAGATGTTAAGAGACCAAGTAAATAGAACTGTTCAATCTGAGTTTCAAATACAAAAGACAAACACTATAGCAATGAAAATTGAGATCAAGAAGTTATTACAAAATAAAAGAAAATGAGAATAGGTGTTAGTAAACAAAGAGAACACTGAACCAATAATAGACAAAGTAGTTAAAAAGAAAAAAAAAACATACTGATAAATTATTGAAGCATATTATAAGTTGAAAGAGAATGTTACTCAGTACTTGTAGAATGTAATAAATATAATCTGAGTAACAGTAGTAGTACAAGCAGTTGTCAACATTAGGTTAAGAAAAATGCAATAGTAGAAGTATTATTAGGAATAAGACAGATGCATAAGTAAAAGATACCAGTTTTGCTTGAAGAACTAAAAGAGTACAATAAGTGTTATATAGAAAAAGATGATATAAGTAATGAAAGAGCCATAAGTAGAAAGATAATAGTATATAGTCATGAAATTAGTTTATTAAAAATACAAGGCCTAAACAGCAGTTTAGAGAGTATGCTACTAGAGCAGTTAGAAAAAAACATTATAGACAAGCATATAAAATACAAGTTTTATACAGATGGATCATTAGTAAAAGAAGAAAAGGAGTGTAAAATAGGTGCAAGTTGGATGCAAGTTAGTGAAGATGAAAAAGAGGTTATAATGAAGTATAAAGTTAGATTAGAAAAATAGCCATTATTAACAAAGGCAGAGTTAGTATCAATATTGATAATAGTTTTAGTTGTAGTTAGTAATAGTAGAGTAGTAATTAAATTAGATAGTTCAGTAGCAATTGAAAGCCTAAAAAGGAGAAGTTTATATGTAATGTTAGAGCATGAAGCAAAGTTAAAAACTTCAGATTAGTAATAAAGATCAAAGATATATGCAGATTAAAAAATATAAAACTAGTGCTAGTCAAAGTTAAAGCATATAGTAAAGTAGTATAAAATGAAAGAGCTAACAAACTTGTGAAAGAAGGCACATTGTTAGATAAATGCTTAAATCTGAACCTTAAAAGAAACTACTAATTTTCATATACACTGTACTAGAAAGAGTCAATAGTAGAAATATCTACTAAAAAG